ATCTCTCGATCTATACGAGCTGTCAGAATGCCGGCAAAAGCCGGCATGTTTGCCGGCTCTGCTGTGACTCTCAGACACCCGATCTTCAGGGATCGGGTGTCTGAAAAAGGTTAACCCTTTCATTAATGGATGCCTCTAAACTTAAGGCATCCATTAATGAATGATAACCGCTGATTCTCAGCGGTTACCAGCCTTCTAGTGCAGCAAATAACTCATCACGTACAGTGTACGTGACGAGTCATTTGGTCCCTTTGTGGCGGGACGTACAGTGTACGTCTCCCGTCACAAAGGGGTTAATAAATCTCAGAGATCACATAACCTGTGCAGAGGAGGTAGAGGAAGGGGGCAGATACAGACCAGTCACTCTGCACAAAGAGAGAAAGCAGCAATGACTGGTCTTGAATGCAGGAAGCTTCTGCAATAGTAGAAAACTTTCACACTGCGTTACTGCTACTAGTCAATGTTAGGGCAGAACGGGGGAGGGGCAAGACTGGTACAAGACAACAGAAGGGCAACAGTGCAGTGTCAGATTCCTCGCATCACCTTTCAACATCTCGTGGAGTCACGAGGCGGCACAACGAAGTCATCTCGTGGAGTTATCTCGTGGCCCAACAAAGTACTGATGGGGTGGTCATAATAATCTGGCCACTCATGTGTATATCTAGTGTTTAGACAATATCTTCTATAACCAAGTGACCTGGTATACTCCAGCAATGGGAGGTGAACAGCAGAGGCCCTGGTCAGGGTGGCCGTATGCATTTGCAAGTTTGAGAGTTTTACATTTTTTTTTATTTTTTTTTGTATATGTGGTTGATTGCAAGTCTATGCAGCGGCTGAACTTTAACTATAAGGCCTCGTTCACACCAGATGCAGTGCGTTCCGGCCCAATTCTGGGCGGAACGCACTGCATCGCATTGCGGCCGGCTCACTGTGTTGTGGGGCAGGAGGGGGCGTGGCTTGCAGCATTTTGCTCGGACCGGACCACAGGCATAATGTGCCTTGCGATCCCGTGCGGCCAGTCGCATTGCGGCCGGAGGGCGTGGCTACGGTGCCATTCACTTCAATGGACCGCCATGCCCCCTCCTGCCCCACACCAAGAAAGTGAGCCGGCCGCAATGCGAGGCAGTGCGTTCTGGACGGAATCGGGCCGGAACGCACTGCATCTGGTGTGAACGAGGCCTAAGGGAACATATAGACCTCCAAATGAGTAAAATAAAGGTCAAATTAAAGGCGCAGTCAAGTTAAAATGTGACTTTCATGTGTGTCAAATTCCTGTCTGTGCTGACCCAGCTCTTTTATCCCTCCTACCCAAGCACCTACATCATTAATTGATGTATCGGATTCTAGACAATAAAATATGTAAGTAATATGACTAAAAGACAGTAAAAGCAGATGCCAGCCTAGAATGTGGAGGAGGAGTCAGTGCATGTTATACATTTTTATTTACTGCCCTTGCTGCTGTCAGCTCAGCTCTGTTATGGCTAGCACAGTCAGAAGACAATGAGAGGCTGCCCTGCATGCTGGCCATACGTGATGAATCAGCAGGGGGAAACAAGTGGCGGTGCGTAGGGAAATACTATAGAGTGATAGCTCTGAGTCTGCTGGAGCTGCTGACATCACATCCAAGATGGCGGCACCCAGCAGCAGTCTCAGGATTTTTGGATGTCTACACAAGGGAGACTTTTACAGACAATAAACATGCCTAAAACACATGAAATGAACATATAATCTTATGGAAAGATTGTTGTCAAAATGAATTGTCTAGCAACAGGGTCTTTTTAAAGCAGGACCATGCAACATCTAACACTTACCTTCCCTTTGCTCCACCATCACTTATGTGCCCACGGCAGTGACCGGGTAACAGTGTGCACAGGCTCCATTTACTACAAGAGCACCGTTAGTAGCAATTTCATGGAACTTTTGAGTTGGGGCAGAAGGCAACGCACAAGGTGTACCAGGTGCACCCAGGGTACTTTGTTGAAGTTTTTCTGAAGACATACACACTATGTACGAGGTTCAAAACTGGTTCATTTTACCAACTACCCACTTTGTGCCTTGCTGCCTGCCCCAGCATCCCACAAGCTGAAGGTTCCTACTTAACAGGGTAACATTTATTTTGGGTACAGTGCTCACCTGCAGAGCCTGCTCATCCAGCGGACGGTGCTTGCTCTGGATTTTGTGTCGCGGCCTTTTCTCGAAAAACAATTCCTCGGCACCGGAAAAGATGGACGTGTATTCCTGAAGGCGGTCAGGGGCCGGGTACTTGGCACTAGAGAAAACCTGAACAGGCAGAAAAATGGATCATCAAAGAAGCCAATAGGACGTGGAATAGGCAATGAGCTTAATTCAATGATGATCATTTGTCAGAACGATTGTTACATGGAGAGCTAAAAATGAAAGAGTATGTCAAGGCTAAAACTTTTTCTTTTTTTTAGTGTTAGCAGTTTTAGAACCCCTGTTGGGTTTCTACTGCTACCCAGGACTCTATGCTAAAGTGCAGAGCGGTATCCCCGAAACTCTCCAACAGAAACACAGACAGAAATAAAAAATGCATTTTTTTTTTTTAAGCAGAGTAGGGGAAGACTAGAACACGTCACATTTGTACTGCTGTCTGCATCTGTTACAGACATTCTCTCACTTCCTGTCTAGTAAAGTCATGATCAGCATCACAGAAAGTGAGAGTAAATCACTTTCTGCATCAGGTGGGAGGTACAGGCTCATCTTTTCTACCAGCTGTATAGGGCAGGTGATACACACAGTAAGGGCAGTTTCACAGTATTTTCCGGACCAGATCTGCCCGCAGTTCCAGTGCATTCCAGACCAGACAAAATGAGACCAGCAGTATATTTCTGGTCTGGTCTGGAACGGACTGCACTGGTGTGAACAGAGGTCAGAAATAACATAGGGATACATTAGAATGCATTTTGGGTCCTGAAACAATCTGGTGTGGTCTGGAGATGATCTGGATGTGGTGTGAATGGGCCCCAACAGCTCACCATAGCAGCGAGCGATATATCGCCTAGTGTACCAGCTGAAACAGGGCATATAGATATAGCACTGGAAGGGTTCTATCTATGGGTTGTACTGATTGCAAACAATATCGGCTGCTGTTTTGGCCTCCAAACTTGTGCAGCAACTGCAGGGAGGGGAAGATCCAGTGCTCAGTCAGTCGCCACTCACCTTAATAGCCTTTTTGCTGCCTTTGATCTTCTCTATCTTGGCTTGTGCCAGGCTGACCCGATTGTTGAGGTTTCTGAGCTGCGTTCTGTTAGTCTCCACCCGCTGAAGTATCCTGAAAAGGCAGACACAGTGGGGGGAATGTTCAGCACTATCTGGGAAATATCTGCTCTATTTACACAATGCAGATTTTTAGTTCAGTCACCAAAAAAACAAAATCACATTGCATTAAATAAGTCATTGCCATGTCAGCTTTCACGTGGTGATTAAAAGCAGAATCTGGTTGGCAAGTCAGTAAAGTAAAAAAAACTCCCAGCAGAATGGTTGCCCACAGACTAGCTGATAAAGCAGGGGAGGTTATATGGGTGCATGCGACAGATCCCATTGTGGCGCAGCACTGGGCCTCAGAGTGTGCAACACATATAATGTGGTTGAGCAAAATTTCTCCAAGCATTAACTTCTTAGGGGGAGTCAGTAGGAGACACAGTCAAACACACCAGGTTCCAAAGTCCTAGACGCGTGGTCTTGAGAGCGCCCTGCAGCAACAAGTACTGGAGAGTGCCAATGCAGGAACCAGTGAAATATGGCCCATTCCAGACAGTCTTTGCCCCACACATGGGCATACTCCCAAGGAAGTCTATAGGGACAGGATTACGCCAGAGGGTGTATCATGGCCCTGGACCTGTAAAGCTCTCTGCGGCCAACTCGCACAGTACACTGGGTAATTGCAGAGTGCCACAAGCAGAGCCCAGTGCCTGAAAAATCACACTACAGGCAGGCCCCATATCTTCATAATGGTGGGGTCTAGATATGATCTCTGAGACCCCATTCACAATGAGCGCTTTGTAGCGCGATTTCCGCTCAAAAATCGCTCAAACATGAAGCTCTATCTAGCTCGTCCAATGCATTTCAATGGAGCTGTTCACATCTCACAGCTCAATGTCACCTGTAGCTTGTAGCTGAAGCTTGTCGCTCGAACATGACCTATTTTTCTGCGGATTTTGTGCGATTTGGCCCCAATAGGCTTTGATAGACTGCCAAAAGAAGCTTTACGTAGCGCAACAAAATGTGCACTGTATCTCAATGTCACTGAGCTCAAATCAGTGCTAAGAAAGCACTTTTTTTTAATGTAGCTCAGTGTGAATGGGGTCTAAGGAGTCGCCAAGGATCGGCCGACCCGGAAGCTACAATATGAGCCCTCATAGCTCTGCAGTTAAGAATCTTGACTGAAGAAAAAATATCTTGCAATGAAAAAAACAAAAAAAAGTCAAGAGAAATGGTCCATTCTTCTGGGATACTAGCACAAAACTGAATAACGGGAGTAGTAGGGGGGTTATTCCAGACCAACAGCTTCTTTGCTTGCCAGCGTCCAATTCTCCTGTAGGCAGCAATATAACCCAGTTGTCTACTTCTAATCCTTTGTCTCTTAATGAATGATTAAGTAAAAACGTTTCCTAATAAAATCTCAAAAGTCATTTTTAGTATTCCTAAATCTGCACCTTTTATTACACTAAATGAAAAGCAGTGATCTCAAGGAATGGTAATGTTACACAGTGCAGCCTAAATTCAGTTAGGATTGACATCTACTTTAAAAAGTTATACAATACCGGCATCAAGGAATACAGGAAGAGCCATATAATTGTTCTCCACCAGGAAATGTTGTAACAATTTGTCTTATTAGTTATAAAATATTTGGAAGCATTCCGTACAAGAAGCTGCGCAATGTGACAGTGACAGCCCCTGATGGAGGAAACATTGTGTCTGCATTTCACCCTCTCCAGCTACCCAGTAATCCATCCAGCTGTCTCAGCTCTACAGAGGACATATTTTGCTAATTAATGCTAATTACAGCCTGAGATAAGAGAGTATTAGCATATCTGGAGAAGGTATAAGTGCAGGAACTGAGGACGTGTGACCTTATCAGGACAGGAGGGGGGGAACAGACTGAAGTTCCTCTGTGCTTTAAGCAGCCAGATAAACGCAAGCGTGGCGACAGTTTTCAGCAACGCTTGCAGCAATTGAGACCTGTTGAGGTGTGGCAGCATCACAAACTATGTGTTCGTACCCTGGCCCTCCATTTAAACCTGAGCATAAGAAGACTGTATTGC